CCGGCCTCGTGCTGATACGAAGATAACAATCGTTAAATCAAACTTTCCAACGATTATACTATACCTAAAACAAGTAAATGTCCAAATAGTTGGGCTTGAAAGATCCTAATCATGCTTATTGGGCCTTCGTGGCCCATTGCCATGACTTTTGGGCCTAACAATAATAAAAATGTTATTGGGCCTCCGTGACCCAATTACATGTTTAAAGGACCCTCAATGGCACCTATATGCTATTGGGCCTTGGTGGCCCATTAGCATTGCTAGTAAGGTCCAAATTTAATCAAATATGAAATGGGCCAATGTGTCCTTCGTATAACCAACAGCCTTAAATAACACACGTAATTAGCAGGACCTTGTATTCCTCTTCTCCGCGTTTGTTAGGCTTATTTGAAATCAAAGTAAACAAGTACAGGTCGTTAATCAGTAGTAAACAATTTTGTTTGGATTAAGTGAGCAATAGCGGGCGACACCTCTAAGGGTCGTTCGTAGTCTGTAGTTATAATCAAAGTCTCCTGGAAGGAGAGCGAGAGTTTGTGTATAGATCTATACGGGGGTGACTCCCCACACCTCAGCTGTTCGCTACAGTTAGACTCGGCCAGTCTAGGGTGACAAAATCTTAAGATCAATTCCGGCGTACTTTAGGATGCCAAGACAGACGAACTAGTTATTATTATGCATGGTTATAACGACTCACATAATTAAATAAATCCAATACCATCCAAGTAATCAAGGAAGAGTAATCAAAATCATTCGTCGTGGCGATATAACAATTTGAAATAATTATATTATGTTATCGGAAAACATCGGGTTTTTAGAGGAAATCAACATCACTCGCTTGTATTTTTTTTTTATAACTATAATGCAAAACTTCCCATTTATACACGTTTTGAAATCATTCATGCACCAACTTATGGATCTTCACACTTTGGTAAAAAATCGTCTTTTCAGAAAATATCGGATTTTCTGGGTTTTAAAAACTACACAAATCATTTTTATCACAACCCTACTTATGAACTCACCAACATTTCATATGTTGACGTTTTTTCAAAATAACTTGTATTCTCAGGTAACGGGTAAGCTGCAGGGTAATATCAAGTATGTTAGGATGTTATGTTTTGAAAACTCTCAAACAATTGATGCTATGGATATGTAATATTTAAACAATGTACTGGATGTGAACAATGTCAATCGTTATGTATTAATGCATGGTGAAGTTTATGTTGTGTTTCATGTATGATCATTGTGATGATATTCAATTTAAGTCACGCGAGCCCTCGGACGTTTCCGCCGTCTGGTTCGGGGGTGTGACAGATCTGATAGGCCGGTATTCTGGTAGACAGGATGGTTATATGTTGGTATCGTATGATAGATCGGTATCCTGGTAGAAAGGATGCGGTTATGCTTAGAGACTTGTAGTTGGTCTGACTGTCTGTATGTTGATAGGAGATTACCTGTTATGTGTGCACATGATTGATTGGTAGTTGAGGGTATTCCATCACGGGGATGATAGGACCCTAGTATGTTATCTCTATAGTCTGTTACATGATTATCTGATATAGGTGCACATGTTTGATTTGTTGTGGGCATTCCAACCCGATGGTTGGGGGGCCTGGGGTATTCCATCCCGACGGATGAGTGGACTCATAGTATATGTTCTATGCGTGTAGTGTGTGGGCATTCCAACCCGATGGTTGTGGGCCGAGAGTATTCCATCCCGAGGATGATTGGACTCGTAGTAGATTGGCATTCCAACCCGATGGTTGAGGGTCTGGGGTATTCGATCCCGATGGATGATTGGACCCATAGTAGTTGTTGTATGTGTAGGTATGTGGGCATTCCAACCCGATGGTTGTGGGCCGAGAGTATTCCATCCCGAGGATGATTGGACTCGTAGTATGTTGGCATTCCAACCCGATGGTTGAGGGCCAGGGGTATTCCAACCCGATGGTTGACTGGACCTATAGTATGTTGTTCATTGCTTTATGTGTATGGTTGTGTGTATGGGTATTTTGGGGGTAACTCACTAAGCCTTTGAGCTTACATTTATCGATTATTGTTTCAGGTACAACGGCTGACCGCGGAAAGGCGAAAGCGTGACCGTACACTTCCTCGATTGATGAATGTGATTCCTGGGAACTCTGATGTTTAAACTATTTTGAAAACTAATTGTAATAAATGAATGGTTTTAAATGATTTAAAAAGTTTTAAATTTGCTCAAATTTTATGGGTGTTACAGAAGTATAATAAACAAAGTTAGTTTCTTATGTGTGTGTGTGTGTGTGTGTGTATATATATATATATATATATATATATATATATATATATAGGCTTAGGTTATTATATTCAAGTAATTATTGTGTTATTGTATGCATAAATGTGGGCCAATCATTTTACTTTTTTAAGAAGTGATTAATACATATTATTGAATTAAATATAATTGATAAATACCATCAAATTTAACTAGAAGGGTATTTAGTCAATTAATATAGATTTCTAAAGGAACTTTGCATATTTTAAGGGATCATCGATTCTATTATTTTAAAAAATCCGATTTTACGAATTATAATGTTTTTTTCGGACATTCTGACAGATGTTGAATATGTTCAAAAAATATTCTAGACCACCATAAAATAAAAATATCTTGAACATATTTCTTGATCATGACTTTAAAAATTTCTTGTAGAATAACAAATTCTCGAACCAGCAATTGAAGAATTAAAACAAAAATTACATTATTTCTTATAGAATACATGTAACAATTGCTAAGAATTATATTTATTGTTAAAGAATAAAACTAAAAACTTTCAAATCGGGAAAAAAACATCAAAATCTAACAAAGACACTAATACATTCTAAAAGAATAAATGTTGCTAAGAGGCGTCGTTCAAATTTCGTGGTCCGTTCTTCAAACATCAGCTTCTGTGGAAACAAATTCAATGAATAAATTAGTGATAAAATATCCATATTCCATTCCAACATAATTGGAATTCGTGATTCCATTATGATAGAATTTGAATTCATTTACCAATAATTATATTAATTCGAGGCATTCTAACAGAATATGTTCATGATTATCATAAAAAACATTCTTTTATGATAGAATACTATAAACGAAAAAATACCATTTAGTTGAAGCATTTTAGCGAGCGCTTGGTGTGCATCAAAACAACTTTCAATTTCCTGTAAAAATTAAACAATCAGAACAAATTTCCAATTCATCAAAAATATTACACCTTGAAAGAATTAGACAATAAATCTAAACACATCCAAAATTTCTTTGATTTCTATCAAACAATCAACCCAAACATCCATTCTATATATTGAAATCAAATCAAATTAAAAAAATCCATTTGAAGATTAAACTTCATTGGTTTACAGTAAATCAGTCAAAATAAGAAGAAGAAGAAGAAAGAAACTTGTACCAATCGACCTCCTTGTCTCTCGTTCTCACCTCACCAGAAAAAAAATAAGGAAGAATTGGCAGAGTCGCCTACTGCCGCCGCTGATTTTGCTTGTCCCTGCCTAATCGATTTTGTTGTAATGGAATACACAGTGGTGTAGGGCATCGATCGATAAGAGAGTCACCGGAGAAGGGTGTCTCCCCTCTCGTTCTCGTCTTTTCTTCTTCCTATCAAACACAACAATCGAACGCCCCTGGATTGGTGATGTCCCGATGCTTCTTCCCTCTGCACCTCCTCGCGATTTCCCAACTTTTATATATATATATATATATAATATATATATATATATATATATATATATATATATATATATATATATATTATATATATATATATATATATATATATATATAATAGTTGGGAAATCGCGAGGAGGTGCGGAGGGAAGAAGCATCGGGAAATCGCGATGAGGTGCGGAGGGAAGAAGCATCGGGACATCACCGATCCGGGGAGCGTTCGATTGTTGTGTTTGACTGGTTGGATAATAGTGTACTGGGCTTTGTCCTTAGGCCCCGGTTTGATGGAGAAACAAAAAGCAAACTTATAAGATTATAAGTACAAATCCACAACAACAACCTCATTTTTGCTATCTCATCTTCCTCTCATGCTACTTCTTAGTCAACCAAGATAGGTGTCCTTAGTCCTTACAACTACCTTATATATTTTTTTTATTTAAGTTTTAATGGTACCTTCATTTCACACGATACTCTAATGGCCAGTGTCTACTTAATCTATCTCACCTTAATAAGGTGGGTGACATTATCCTCAACACCCACGTCCTGATGGATTATAGATTATAGACCATGGTTATTTGGAGCTCTCCTTTGGTTGTAGGACTTGCTCACTTATACACACTTCAACCATTTTGCTATTTTGTTGCACACTAAAACTGCACCATTAATAATCACTATTAATTGTGTTGATTCTAAGCCCATTTTCAACAATCGAAGATATCTATTTGTGTATCCAACCAAGCATTCAACTCAATCCTAGTCTCTGCAATCAAAACAATGTTGTACGCAAAATCATACATCATGATAACTAAATTCCTCGTCCACAATCAAGGCTAAGCGTCGAAGTTTAAGCAATTTTAAGCTTTTAAAACATGTCCAATCCAATACTCAGCTTCATATTCCTAATGAATTAGTATGATTATCTAACATTAAAATACATGCTTTAAGCACTAATTAACATCCTAATCATCAACATTAACAAATGATTCTATTTGCTAGATTAAGATATAATTATTTTTAATTTCGAAACCTTGTTCGACTCCATTAAATGTTACATTAGTTTCCAATCCAGATATTAACTTCTGTTGATGATTGAAGGCCATTATATGTGATTCTAATTGATTATTTAAACTTGGTTTAATATATATAATTTGACGTTTAAATGGATTACAAACACAAATCATATAAAATTCAAAGCTAAAACTCCACTGAAGCTCAATGCAAGCTTTTAAGCTCATAATTTATAAAAATGAAGTTGAAAACTACATAAACTGAATTAGCAAATTAACATAGAAGTTCAAACTATTATCCAAAGCACAATCATTAATCCAATAATACATACAATATCTAGACATTATTTCACTAATCAGAATTTTAAAACCTCACATAACCTTGAGTGCTTCAAATTCTAACATTCCAAAGACAAAGTAAGTAAGCATAATTTCTTTATTGTTCTACACAATTCAATTGGTGTCTTGGGGGTTTAAAAAGAAACGATAAAAAACCAAAGTTTCTAAAAAATTGATAATAAATACAGGGTTAAAACAAACAGAAACACATTATACAAAACGTCCTTAATCTTAATTCATGCAACCCTGATTTTCCATTACATTAACTATAAATGGAAACACGTAAAATTAACAAAAAGAGGGTAAAAACAAAACCAGCACGTGTCCCAGAAGTTTCATGCAATATGTGCAATTGTAGATTAGAGAAACCATTTCACTTCATCCAATCATCTTCACCAATCAAAAACCAACCCTAAGAGAACATGCGCAGGAAATTGCTTGCATATGCCATTGGCTTCACATCAGGATGTGGCTGAATTTTCAAATAAATATATGATATTACAAAAATACCCCTGAATAAATAAAGAAGAATTTGTGTCAGGAAAAAGGGTAAAAAAGACTAACCACAGCTGAAAATGTGACAATCTTGGGCTCCATGGTGGGGGCCTCAAATCGAATAAAAGCACCCTTGTTTCCCATCTGCAAACACCAATAAAATTATTGAATTTTACAAAAAAATATATTTAAAAAAGAAATTATTATATCTAAAAAGATGAAACTAAAATTATTACCTGGTCACAATAGTTTGGAGCAGAGAAAACAGTGATGAGTTTTCCATCATGTTCAATTTCGTACCCTTCATCTTTCACCTCATGAGATCGCACAACCAAATCTGAAAAATAAACAAACAAATAAATAAACCCATTTTGCAATTATAATAATAAAAAATAAATATTACCTAGATTATTATCCTTCAAGAACCTTTTTGTTACATCTCCACCAAAAGAGAGACCTACACCACGTTTGCTTGGTCCTCTACCAGGGTTAGGTTGTGGATCACTCCATAATATCTCACACATCAACCCTAAGAAATTAAAAAAAAAAAAAAGATAATTTAATTAACAAAAATACAACATGAAAAGGGTAGGTAGGTAGGTAATAATCCAGTACACATTACCTTCCTCTGGAGGCTCACAGAAGCGATCAATAGCTCTAATGTCAGAGAGCTTGACACCATCCGTACTAAAGAGACCCCCATGAACCACAAATATTTTGTGATTTATAACATGGGCTAATGGTAAATAACAGAAAACCTCAGCAAAAAGCTCCACAAATTTATCACTCAGTTTTGACCTAACCTCTCCCTCAAACCCATAAATCTTGTTCATGCTTTTGCTTTCATGGTTTCCTCTAGCAAGATGTATGGCTGTAAAAAAAGATATATATATATATATATATATATATATATATATATATATGTTGAATGTTGAAACAACGAGCAAGGGCAGAATGGTAAATAGCCATGTTATTACCTGATGGAGACATACACTTGAAGGCAAACAGTGTGAGAATAACTTCTAAAGAGAAGGAGCCACGGTCAACAAAGTCACCATTGAAGAGATAAGGATTTTCGTCTGAAGGGAGGCCATTGAGTTCAAAGATGTTGATAAGGTCAAAGAATTGACCATGAACATCACCACAAACAGTGAAGTGTTTTTCATTTGGAACATTTATGTCAACAAGAGAAGGTAATGCCATTAGGATTTCCCTCGTTTGTAGAACAATCTGGAAGGCATACCTACCAACACAAACTCACAAAGTCAAACAATAGAGTGTGATCATAACAAATTTTAAAAAAAAATAAAATAATTACAAATTTCTCAACATAACATACACATACCGTTTATGTAAGCATTTCTGATTCTTGAAGTCATCCATCATTTTCTTCACAAAATCTAAAGTTACCACATCTCCCTCTATTCTTGCTCCAGTATACTGTGGCTCCACATCTACATTTCACAAATAAATAAATAAAACCTCATTATTATAAAAATAAACAAATTTAAGGCGCATAATTTAATCCAAGAATAACACAGAAGCTTTTATTTGGATGATGGGAATTGGGAAGGAAGAAAAGATAAAAGTCATAAAACACAAGTGCATACTAATCATGAGTCTTATATTCTAAGATTTGAATATTTCATGGGGTTGTTTATATGTGATTAATTTTTAAGTTTTAATTTTTTTTTATTTTTTATGATCCTTACTAAGTTCAAACCTATGTTGAGTACTTGACTCTTGGTTAAGAAAGCAGGAGTGGAGCCATCCTCCCACCAAGTCCAACCAGAGTTGTTGAGTTTGACCACCAAAAAAGTTGTGATTGTTGAAAATGCCACCACAGTGGCTGCAATGGGCCCCACCACCAGCATCACTACAGCCACTAGTGCTACTGCTACTGCTGCTGCTGCAGCAGTAACCTGAGGGGAATGATATGATGATGAGCCTGTGCCCGTGCCTAAAATGATCAAAATAACTATTAAAATGCATAAGCATTAATGTAACGTTTCACACAATGACTATTATTATTATTTATTAGACTACAAATTCTTACAACTTTTTTTACTTTTTCCTAGTGAGTAGTGACATGAATCCTAGTGGACCATTTCTTGGAGTTGAAGGTGGCTTCTCTGTTTCCAAACAAGGGTGGAATTAGGTTATGGAGAAAGGAGGCAGTTGACCCCACTTGATGTGGGCTCTCACTCTCATCCCATTTTTTATTATAAAATTGTCACATTTGACCATTAAAGTGTTACTATTTTACCCTTTTGACCTTTTTGAAGTGACAAGTTTGCCACTTAGCTTTATGTTTTGTATTTACCATTATGACTAAGTTTTTATGCATGTGTGGCATCCATATAAGCAAAATCTGATGACACTATGTCCACATGGCATCTTATGTGGCACACTTCAATGTTCCCGGTGGGTTGCGGAAGAGGCACACTGGCGGTGGAAGGTGGTGTCTTTGGTGGGAGGAGGGTGATGACAAACTGCTACATTAGTGTGTAAAGACAACTTAAGTTAGGGTTTCTTATTTTTATGTTAGTGTGTTTAAGTTATACCATTAACCATTGTTTAAAACCTAACAAGGTTTGTTATTGATGACAAACTGCTACATTAGCAACAACTAATCAACTTGATAACAAGCAATAATCACTTTTTTCCAACCATATATCACTTCACATTTGTAAGTAGCTAACAACAACTTATATTTGCAGGTATCAAAAACATGCAACATTCTACCAGAAACTGCATCCACTTAACCCCCTTATGCAGAAAATAACATAACTCTGAAAGAAGCTGAGTAAAATTAGAAAATAAATAAGAAGAAGAATGCTACCTATGGTTCGGTAGTCAATAGATTCAGCTACTGAGTGTTGTTCAGAAGTAGGTACAGAGATTGCTTCTTCAAACTTGAGCTTCATAACAGCTTTCTCACATTCCTTCAATTTCTTTGAAGCATCTGGATCATTTGGAGATATTCTCTTTACCTAGTTTCATATATACACAATTGTTAGTTTTCAAGTGACAATTGTTTCTGCATAGTATACATGGGTACAAGATATTTGCATCAACTTGAGCACAAAAACACCATTAAGATTTAACTGAAAAAAGGTAAGGGGGATCTAAAACTATCTTGCCTACAAATGAAAGCACTTCTTCTGTTATAAACTAAATAGTCAAGAGACCAAATCATTGCTGAAAGTCTAGACAATACTGCCCCCACATCCTCTGTGTTTTTGACTTCTCATAGTGCATAAATGAAGCTTTAAGGGTATTGCAAAAAATAGAAAGTGTAAAGGTGGCGCTTTATGTTGTAGGTATACATATATTTGATAAATTATGAAATGCAAGTTGGGAGGGAGAGGGACCACACATCTTTTGATAAAGAACTAACATGAGTATCAATATTGGAGATGTTGGTGGTGTATCTTTCTTGCATCAATTTTAGTTTTAAGAAATATTGGAAATTGACATATGAATGAATCTATAACATCATTTTTATCAACAAATATTTTGCTTTGTCATCATCTATGGGTTAACTCTATTAATCGGATATTAATAATATTGATGTAATGAACTTGCTGATATAGCCAATGTGATAAAGAAAAGTATAATTGGAATAAGGGATAATAATGTGGAATTAGTGGGATGACCATAGAAGCCTTGAAATCTTTGGCAGGTTCCTTTAGAAACTGAAGTAAATCTTTTAGTAATGCTTTGTAAATCTTTCATTGTTTTTTAAGGGAATTTTTTGGGTGTACTTTGGATTTGGGGTATTACAGATATCAACCATATCAAGAATTTCAAATGGTTCACTAAAAACAAGAACACAGTTGTTATGCAGTTAGTAATGCTTGTCTCTTACATGCTTGCTGATTTAAATTTGTATGTATGGACCTTTTGATCCGCTCAAATTGGAAACAGATACATGGAATCCTTTTGTCTCACTAAAACTACTCCTTCAGCATTTTATATAATGTTTTTTTGAGAAAAAGTGCTTTAAAATTATCATCCAGACACACACTGAATGAGAATTAAGAAAATGTTTTGACAAAAACTCTTTATCATTAAACCATCTATAATCAATCATGAGAATTGTATCTCTGTAACTCAACTACAGAAAACCCTAACAGGAAAGTGGATAAAAAGAGTGAAGTACAAGTACCCTAAAATCAGTGCAGATATCCTATCGTTTCCTACAACATCAGTGACAAACTGATGTCTCTATACATCATGCAGTTAAAAATCTCTCAACTTCAAGTGGAAACCAATGTATTTCATTCATAGAAATGGTAAACACACATGCTTGCAGAGAAATTCATATACATATGTTTTACATCTACTAAGTTTAATCTAACAGATAAAAACGAATCGTTCTCCATGTTAATCAAATGAGTCAAAAGTAACACAAACCTGTTGAAAATCTTTGAGAGCATCTTTAAACTTTCCCATTGCAAGATATGCAGCACCTCGCCGGTAATAACCCTAAATTTATAAAAGTGTCATCAACGATTCAAAGTATACAACTATAGCTTTGTAGTTAAAAACCAAAACAAATCAACATGCCTTAGAATACTTGGGGTCAATCTCAACAGCCTTGGATGCATCCTGGATTGCGCTACCATACTCCTCTAACTTAGTGTGAGCCAAAGCTCGATTCGCCCAATATACAGCATTTTCACCGTTTATCTCGATTGCTTGTGTATACAAATCAATTGCTTGAGAAAACTTATTGGCTGTCAAAACCCATTACACATATATGAGTACACATATAACTTCATGTAATACGGTTAAATTAACGGTTCGATTGAAGAGAAGGGAACTTATAGATTACCTTTAAAAGCTTCATTAGCTTGGATTTTGATTTCTTCAGCCAATGAAACGCTTGATTTTTCAGTAGCCATAGTGGGCATAATAGAACAGAAGATAAACTGGATTTACTATCGAGTTACAAGAAAGGGTACAGAGATTGCATGCCAACTGTTCCCTTTCGCCTTCGATACTTTCGTTTGGATGGTAGTCACCGAGAAGAGAGATTGTCGTTGCACAGCTTTACCCTAAATGGTTCCGGCGCCTCTTTCATATCATTCATTCATAGACATATTTTACTTCATACCCTTCTAATATTAATCATTACATATACGCACCCTAGTTTTAAAAAGAGCTGCTAAAATGACCATATTTTCAACTAACATTACAAAATAATCATGTGGTTTGTGAATTAGGAACTAGTCTTTTAGATCACACTCACCCACTCACACGGGGTACAAAAAGCAATTGGGGGTACGTATAGGATTAACCTTTTAGATATTGTAAAAAAATGACATCACAACAAATATTCATTCATTTATTGAAATCTTTATTAAAATGTTAACATGAACCCCGTGGTAATATATACAATTCTAGAATATATTACTGTTTTGTGAATTGTCGCTTTATTCTCGATATGATCTTTATTTCTCATGCTTTTAACTACAAAGTTTGGTTGGTTTCTTACTTTTGCAATTTGTTTTTCTTGCATAATGTTAGGGATGAGCAGTCTGTATCAAATTGCAATCCTGTACCAGAATCGGTACCGAAACGTACATAATTTTAAAATATGGGACGGTACTCGGTACTCTAAAATCACGAATCTGGGATTCAGTACCATCGATGTCGGTATTAGTACCGAAAACCGGTACCATTCCCAGTACCGGTACCGATAACGTTAATTCGGTACGGTACTCGGGATTGACTTTTGATAAAATTTGGTATTCAGTAAATCGGGAACGGTACCGGTTCCGTCCCACGCGCATCCCTACATAATGCTCTTAGTATAATTCGTGAATATAAAGAGCATTCATGAAGTTTAGTCGAATTATTTTGGTGGGTTTTCTATGATTTTGTTATATATTTTGTTAAATAATATCGGTTTATCTACATTACGCCAATCATATTCAACTTTAGTTTTTAAGAAAACGAACACACGAGTTGACTGACAATAATTTTTATTTACTTATGAATTATGATTTGCATGATGTTAAATTTGTGCTTATCTTAGTGTCGCTTTATGTTCCAACTAAATCACAATATGTTGTTTCCATTCGCGGGTTGATTAGTAATTGTTTTTTCATAGTTACAACAATCCATTATGTCACCACAATTGGTAGAATATGAAGTGGCACGTGTGGAGCACAATCGATGATGACAGTTTTGTCATGGACCTCAATTGTCGATTTATCCGTTTGTGAGGCCATGTGTAGACCTTATAGATCCTAGTATTAGTTGCTAACCTTACAGTTCTTCGACAGTTAATCGTTACTAGCATGCCACGAGTCTTAATTACCATATTTAATGATACGAGGGAGTTCTTGAATTCCATAGGTAAAATTGAAACCATATATGTGATGGGTTTTGAGCATATCTACAATCCTATGTGATCATGCAACCCTAATTGCTTTGGATCTAAGTTTTTCTCTAGTGAACATGCAAATAGAACACCAAAGCAATAACCCTAGATCTAGCATACAAGATTTGAAATTCATATATAAAAGTAGGGTTAGAATATTACCTCACTTGTTATATAGTAATAACAAGAATAATCCTTGAAGATCCTTGACTCTTGAAAGCTTAGTGCCCCAAGTGTTGCACTTCTAATGGAGTCACAAACACTCAATGCAAAGGATGATAAGGAGAGACAAGAAAATCGGCTAGGGTTTCTTTCTTTCAAGCATAGGCCGAAATTCCAAGTGCTTAGGGGTTTATATATGGCTAGGTTGCTTAGTCTTGAAGTTGGACTTGAATAAGGAAACCCTAGTTCCTATCTTAAGCCCAAAGCAACCCGTGGACCACCATAAGATGCCTTGGACGAAATCTTATAAGCCCAAGCTATAAATTTCGTCCACTCCCATCCAAGGAGTCCCTAGGCCCAGTTTCATAACTATCAATGATTTGTAAAACAGCCCCTCCATTATTAATCAGTTCTTTTAATCCCAAAATTAATATCAAATTAATTTCTGATTAACCACCAATTAATAATATGATTTCCAAATAATATATTAATCTTGTAATATATTAATAAAATCATTTGAGTAGCAATTTATTATTTCACATACTAAATTCTACTCTATCTACACTAGTCATCCTGTCAAGTTGCATGAGTGAATTACATTATAGTTATGGGCTTAGACACCAAATCCAACAATATGTGTTGTCTCCACCAAAAGAGTTGTGAATTACATTGACGTTGAATTACATTAACTTAACTAGAAGTCACCTAGAATTGGTTATGCTTCACTATGAGACCAATATGATCAAATCCTTATGTGTCTGTAATGCCCGGTTCCTGATAAGTATTTTTAAATGAAGAATTATCATTTTAACAAGGGGACTCGACGAGTTGAAGGACCAACTCGTCGAGTAGGATCGGGTGTGGACGCGGGAGTTAAGTGACCTACTCGACGAGTAGGTAGACCGACTCGGCGAGTAGCAGCTGTCTGGATGAAACCCTAAATTTGAGGGTTTGCACCCTATTTAAACACTTTATGTGGCCTCCACCCCAGCCTCCATCACCCTCAGACCCCATCCTCGAAACCCTAGTTAGTTGTGTGTGTTCTTGAGCTATTTTGGTGCCATTCTTTGTGATTTGAAACTTGGAGAAGAAGGAGAAGCTTGGAGGTTCAAGAAGAAGGCTTTAGATCCAGAGTTTTGGTTGCATTTCCAGCTTGTTTGAGGTAAAAAGCTCCAACCTTGACTTCTCATTTGTTAGATCTTCTTTAGGGCTTGAATCTTGACATCTTTGGGGCATCTCTAAGTCATTACGGGTTTTAGAGTGTAATGTAGAGTGATGGCTTCATATCTTGAACCTTGGAGGGTTCTCATGGCATAAAGGTGCCAACTTTATGGCCATGAGACCCCCGTGCATCTTGTAGACTTCATTTTAGAGCCTTTTGAGCCAAAAACCCCAAGCATGGACATCAAGACTGTAACTTTACGTGTAAAAAGGACACCAGGAGGCTAGATCTATGGTTTGGATGCCTTGAGACCCACTGAGATCGACTGTATAGTTTTGGACAAGGAGGGACTCGGCGAGTCGTTCATGGGACTCGGCGAGTCGGGTATTGGTTCCCCGATCTTTTATGTTTATAAGGAATCTGGTTGCGTCTAGAAGGGGACTCAACAAGATGAACGTGATTATAGACCTGGAAATCATGGAACTCGGCGAGTGTATGAACAAACTCGGCGAGTTGTTCATAGAACTCGGCGAGTCATAGACTGGACACATTCATATGGATGAAGATGAACTCGACGAGTTCAAGGATGAACTCGGCGAGTCGGTTGAAGATGGTCCCTATGGTATGAGTGAAGGAGAACCCGTCGAGTTATTGCTAGACTCGACGAGTAGAGTCGGGGGTGGTATTGAGTTGGAGGAGTATGGACTCGACGAGTTGGTAGACCAACTCAGCGAGTCAAGTCAACTGGATGTTGACTTTGACCGGATTTGAGTTGACCCTGGTTAGGGTTACAAGTACAAATTGATAACTTATAGGGGTTGTCATGTAGGGATTGAGGAGTCGAGGAGAGTCGATTTTCACGCCGAGGACAGTTCATACACTACACGACATCGAGGTGAGTTACCTTCCAGTAGCAGTGGGTCTACGGCCACAATGTCGGCTCACCAGTAGGAGTTGTATGTTAGATGATTGTCTTTGTGATATTCATCTAGGTTTGCTGCTATCTGATATGTTTTATGTTCTAGCATGATATGATGTTATGTGATAGTGGTAGTAGGGGTGAAATAGTCCCCGGTTACCGGTCGATAGGACTGAAGGGGTAGTTTAGTACCCAGCCATGCTAGCCAGATTATGATATATGTGATATGATATTATGTGGTAGTAGTAGGGGGTGAAATAGTCCCTGGTTACCGGTCGACAGGACCGAAGGGGTAGGCCAACACCCAGATATGTTAGGCAGTATGTGACTTATGTTTATATGCTAGGGTTTTATGTGGTAGTGATAGGGGTGAAATAGTCCCCGGTTACCAGTTGAAATATACCGAAGGGGAGGCCAGCTCCCGGTCACTAGTCGAGAGGACCGAAGGGGTAGGCCAGCACCCAGGTATGCTAGGCAAGGATATCGGTCGAGAGGACAGAAGGGGTAGGCCAGCACCCAAATATGTTAGGCAAGGTCACCGGTCGAGAGGACCGAAGGGGTAGGTCGGTGTAACGCCCCCAGATCCAGGCTAGTCGATTTAGAGACAATAAGCATCAAAAATGAGTTTTTGATGGAAGATTATTTAGAAGGATTAATCTTTTCCAAGTGGTTGTATATATTACAAGGGTTCCGTACATATAAAGAACGCCGAAATCCGAGTTATAACGAAGAACTTATGACCCGTCGAAGTTTTTCGGCAAAACCGGCACGGCACCAGGAGATGTAAATAGTGAATTTACGATGGAGGAATTTTTAGCCTTAGAAATCTAAACAAAAATTGTAGTATACGTTAAACCGAGAACATACAAAAAAAAGAACGCCCAAATCTGACTTCGTACGAGGAAGTTATGAATTTTCTAAGATTTGGCATAGCAGTGCATGACCCGAAACTCGAATTTTCGTTCGAGCGGTTTTTGGCCTACGCGACCTAAATGATAGTTGAATATATCATTAATAGGAACTCAACGGTAAAAATACAGACGCAAACGGAGTCTGTATGTAGAAGTTATGAATTTTACGCGGACATTTAACAGTATAATCTCCTCATACTGTTAAATTTAAGATCGGTCGAGAATTAGCCGACGGAGACAAAATGAAAGTTGTAGATCTTATTTTTACCTACGCGTGGATATAAAGAACGTCGAAAATGGTGCTTGTATGCGAAAGTTATGAATTTTTGAAAATCGGCTAATTTCCACCCTGTGTGCGATGCCACGTGTCAGCACCAGGTGAAACCTTGGAGCCTACGCAACACCACGACGTGGTGACGCCCCAGGCAGCCTATAAATAGAGGTGTCGGGTTCCCTTAATTCTTCACACCATCCATCTTCACTTTCTCTCTCTACTTTCTCTCTCTAAGCCCCAAAACCCCCCCCCCCAAAGCCTATGTTAACTCCC